TGATCGAAAAAGCCTTTGCAAGTCACGGCACCTCACCGGAAAACTAGGAATTCCTTCCTCAAGTGTTTCTTTGTGGTTTTGTTGTCCAAGAACACAAACATACAATTAGTAATGTATCATGGGAACCAAGGGGAGAGATTTAAAGGGTTTTCAAAGCTTACCTACATTGAAGTAAGTCGGGGAGAAAGTGAACAGTGGACTCTGTCATTGTTGAGCTTTAAGGTCCTCAGTCCGAGGTTTGTGAAAGCATAGTCAAAGTAGTGGTGAGTGGTTGTAGTGAAAGGAGGGACTGCGGGGAAGAGTGAAGAGCCAGAATGAGAAGTTTGCAAGGGAGAAAGCTCGGGGGATGTGAGAAGGTGAAAGCTGAAATAAAGAGAAGAGATCCGAGAGATTTGGGGAAGGTGAAACTGCCACGTGGCAGGTAGGGAAGAGGGAACCGAGGACACAAATCAGGGGGTGGGCCCCTTGGGTTCATTAATTAAGATCCAAAAATAATTTTTAAATAAAAACCCAAAACTTAGTAAAATTACAAACTAAATTTGGGGAGAGGTTTTACAATCTACCCCCCCTTAAATAAAATTTTGTCCTCGAAATTTGAAATAACATACTACACTGAAAAACTCGAAAATAAGAAGAAGAAAAGAAAAAAAAAAATATATATATATATATATACACACACACACGTAGTGAAGAAATAACTTAACTAATCATTAACCTTTTCCGTAGATGGGTCTACTTGCCCACTTGCTTAATGAACCAAACGAATAAGCTATCGATATCATAGTCTGCAGCCGCAATATCGACAACACATTGTTGTCTGGATAAACAAGTAGTAATTTCCCGAGGGTGCACAATTTCTCATATCATAAAATTTGATCCTCCGAAAACAAGTTCGCAAAACTCTTATGTCAACCCATGTTGCCTGTAGAAACTCTTGTACCATGTCGTAAAAAGTCTAATACCCAAACCCACTGCAAATTTTGTTCCTTGCGTCTCCTCCTTAAAGATTGCTCAAGTTCTGGATCAAATGGAATCAATTTTTGTGCTACTGATCTAGTTCTGACCATGCACAGATTGTTGTAATCTGCAGTACTGCTGTAATCTGTAAAAATAAAATAAAAATGAAATTAATTTTTTTTTATGTGTATAGACAGCAATAACTAACTGTAAATCTGATTAGAATGAATTATTTTAAATAATCCCCGATAGCGGTGCCAATTTCTTAATAGAGATTTTACCACACACGCAAACGGGTTAAAAACTCTTATATTACTTGCAAGAATGACAAGGTTGTTGTAGTATAAAATGGTTCTCGCAAGATCATTCTCCACAGGAATTATTAAATAATTCAAAACAAGCCAAATTTCAATTAATTATTGTAAAACAGAAAGTTGAGATGATTGGTTTTATAACCTACTTAAATTAAAACGAATTTAATTAATAAAAATAAACTAATCTGCAATATTAAAGATGAAAGGAAAAGAAAACTGTTTTGGAAAAATCAAATTAAGAAAGCACTAGGGTTCCACCATCACCTAGCAATCTTATGTATTTTTACCAATTACTTATGATTTACACATGCCACTTTGAAGGTTAGGTTTTCCTAATTTATATTCTACTTGGAACCTCTAACATAGAACGTATATCTAACATGCAACCCGTCCGGACGTTCGGATCAAATCTGAACATGAGAGACTCATTATGTTTTATGAAAACCCTTTGAAAAACCGTGCAACCCTTAAGACGTGGTGTTCATCTTAAGTGAAATTACAATTATTAATCAGAAGAAGCCATCGTCAATTTCAGGGAACCTTCCGACCAAAATTGCATTAAATTACTTTTCTAAAGATCCTAATGATGATCAGGCATTAAGACAATTAGATAGTTTTAATTACGGTGATCAATAATTCAAAGTATGCATGCAATCAATCACAAGCAATTAAATAAAAATTACATATTCATGCTAAGACTCAAGGTTTCGCCCTAGCAAAAGGAATTAGTTACGAATATTCATAATTGAAATCATAGAAAATATTATTAAGAATAAAAGGAATGAAAACACCTTAAAGTAGAAAATCTCCAAAAACCCTAGCCAAGTTCTCTGTCTCCTCAGGTAGCATAAAAGAAAGCATCCCCCAAAACCTAGAACCGGCCAAAGCCTTTTAATATCTCTCTAAAAACCAGCGCACAAACCCTAACAATCAAGTATTTTATTCCCACTAAGAAACTAAATAATAATAAAATAAAATAGAAAATAAAGTCCTAATTAAACTAGGAAAAACTGCACAAAAATTGTTCAGCCACGTTTTAGCCTCAAATCTCCTCCAAATCCGGCCCAAGATAGCTTGTTTTAAAGATAAGAACGTTCTGAACACATCTCCAGAAGGTCACGAATCCATCTGAGGTCATCTTGGGCTCCAAAACACAAGTTAAGCCCAAAACGTCACTATTCCAGCATTGCGCATTGCTCCTTTATTTTATTGCCAGAAAATCATCGCTTGGTAGAAAAATCTAATATTTTGATACGATCAAGCCAGGTGACTCACCACATCCTCCAATTGGAATTACTCCAAAATTCATCCATTTGGCCATATTTTGCTCCAGAAGAAGTTGAAAGTCCTATATTAGATATACAATTTAAAGTATCAAAATTCTTCCAAATTATTAACCAAAATATACTAAGAATAGGGTAAAATATATAATATAAAATATACTCATCACTAATCAACAAATCACAATGTTACATCTACTAAGTTAGTCATTAATTCAAATTACCATCCTCGTTAGGGCTGAGTTCGGTTCAAAACTGTTCAGTTTTTCCTTGTCTTGTTTCGGACCAGTTTGGTTTTTTTTTTTTTTTTTCCTTCAATAACAAAAAATAAATAAATAAATAAAAATCCTTAGAAAACAAAACTTCCAATGGAATCAAAGACAATGACAATAGAGCAAAAACATTAATTAGTCCAAATTTCCAATATATGCAATGAGAAATGGAGCACCCAAACTCTACAGGAAAAGCATTAGTTAGTCCATAAACTAACAGAAACAAGCAACAGACAGCTAAATGTGAGTAAAGGCTGAATGAAAACTTACAACAGGGGAAAAAAGAGCGTGCCAATACTTAGCACATTGGCATCTTTAGAACGGTTGGGTGTAGAGCATATTGAGTGCCCAGATCACTTGTAAAATCAACAGGACCAGAATCATAGATATGTCCAGTAATACACCTTCTGATCAATCGATGTTCAGCCTCCAAAAATGAACATATGGGATCAAATGGGCATTACGAATAAAATAAAGCACGTGTTTTAACTGAAACTAGAAAGACAACATACCGGATAATGCTGAACATCACAAATTCTGTCAAGAATCTGCAGTTACATTTAAAGTTATTATAGAGTACAAACATTGAAATAAAATTAGAAAACTTACCCCAAATCCAGAAATCAACTTATCAGTGCCAAATACAAAGTCGGGTATCCACTACTACAAAACTTACCCCAAAAACCTTGTACATACAAGCTTTTATACCAGCAAAAAGAGCCACAAAGACTACAGAACATGGCTTAACCCTTAGCTCCTGCATACCCAAAATATATAAATAAATAAAAGGACACTCCATAGAGTAAACTCGAAATTCGAATGGGATGGGATTTTACACCATATAAGACTTCGGTTCTTCCTCGCCATTAGGCGAGTAATACACGTACACACACAACTAACCACAAGTCATTGGCCCGGAAATCGGATCATAGCTCCGTATTAAATATATGCATCAAAATCTAAAGAAGCAATGAATAAGAAATTGGCAAACTGGGAAGCAAGCTGACCTTAACCAGCCCATTGAGAATAACAAAGGCAAACGATATGGCCTTTTCGGGATAGAATCTACACAAAATTTCATCACCAAAGCAGAAAAATAAGCTCGAAATGCAGCAAAATTGAATAAAACTCCAATCTTTAAACCCATCCATGAATCATAAACCAAATATCCAAATACAAGCAAATCCATGAACGATTTAGCACAAAAAGAATTCTAAAAATACGTCTCATGCATGTTACGTTCTGTTTGGGTGGTGAGCAAATGCGAGAGAAGTGAGAGTGTGAGACTAACCTTTTGTTGTTGAGACTCGAAACGGCAAGAAGAATCTGACGGCGAGCTGTGAGAAATTGAAAGTGAGAAGGGTCGCGCCGTTGTAGGTCACCTGGGATTCAAGACCAAGCAAGACAAAGAGTTTGAGAGAGACTGAGAGTGATTGAAGTTGAAGACCAAAAGAGAGAGAGAGACAGAAAGAGAAGGCTTAGGCTGCACGAAGGCCTCAGGGTTACTGGCTTTGGGGGGTTAAAATAACACCATTTCTAGAATAGGATTATTAATTAATAAATAACTACAAAACAACGTCGTTTGAAGAAATTCGGTTTGGTTTGGTTCAATATATTTGGTTCGGTTTTCGGTATGGTTTTCTTCGGTTTTTTGTTTTTTCCAACCCAACCCTAATCCTGTGGCGATCAAATTTTATGTACTCATTTTGTGTGTGGTCTTTCTATGACCTCTATTATTGATTGATACATGTTAACTTTACGACAACAAAGTTAAGAGAGTTAAGTATTCACATGTGTCAATGAATGATAGAAGTCACATAGTAACACATACAAAATGAGTGCAGAAAATTCCATCTCATCATCATGAGTTCTTATCCATAGAACTTGTGGAAATGTAGAACCATTTATCCAATCGGTTATTTTTAAAGAGGAGTTGACGTTATTACTTTAATTTATAAATTAGGAGAACGAAATAATTTGAATGAATGATTATGGTCATGAGTTTCTTTTTAATATTCTTGCAGATGTAAACATTACAATTAGGCTATAATAAAGCTCTGCTTTGAAAAATAAAAATCGTACTTTATTATTTTTAGATTGTTTTTTAATAATTGAATACGCAGGACCATGCTTGGCATGACAATTTGCATTGTTCATTAAGTAAATAGGGTGACATCTGTAATAAGATTCATACTTCTTATTAATCAACACTGTCAATTATGTACATGACTGTGACATATGTGAGCGACTGATACTAGCATTCTTGAACACGAACGACAAATCAAAAATACAACACAAACTCTAGTATCCGACGATCGCAAACAGATTTCACCGAACCTTCCGACGGCCCATAAGCCCAAGGACCTTCTCCCAAAGCCCAACACTTCCCACACTCCTCAAATCAATCACACTTGGGCTACAAGCTGCCACAGTCCAATAACCAGATCTTATTTCATCCTTCAACTGCTCCTTCTCCCACCCACAATACCCATCAAAGAACCTGAACTCCCCAAGCCCAACCATATTCCTCTTCACCATCTCAGCCGCACACCCCACACTTTCCTTTGTCCCATAGTACAACCCCTTCATCACCTCATCAAAAACTCCACTCCTCCCAACTACATCATCACCCCCTTTGGGCCTCACCAAGAACAACCCCTCTTCCAACGGCCCGCCGAAGAACAACGGCTGGTCCGAGAACGTGCCCGCCACGTCCAGAGCGGTTGACCGCGTTTCCTTGATCGACATGAGGGAGGGCCGGTTGAGTATGATGCCCGACGGTCCCAATGGCCCAGTGGACAACACCAGAATGACTGTCCGTTCGAATATGTGGACCCCGTCGAGCTTTTCGGTTGCAAGGAGTAGGCATCCCTTCTCAGGCTCGTGGATTTCGTGAGCCCATTTGTCACCAACAGTGATGGGCTTAGGTTGATCCACCACAGTGTCAAGATCAAGTGAGGAAGTTGAGGTGGGCTCTTTTGACCTTGATTTCTCTGCAGCTACCAGTCTTGCTCTGAATGATCGCCAATCTGTATCAATGGATGGTTTGTGATCATCGTTGGACGGCGTTGATGACTCCCCACGGCTACCTATCATTCGACACTCGACAGAAACCCCGTTAGAATATGCAAGAAGAGCATGGAATTTTTCCCAGCTTGAAACAAAAAGGCAATAGAACAACTTACATGTTATTGAAGATGGAATCCCAACTCTTTTGGATTGAAGTTGAGTGAAATTTCTGTTGGGAGAAGTAACAGTTTTGATGAAGGAATTTGAGGCAAGAAAACAAGCTTCCATTGATGAACTTTTGACGGTAGATCAAAGCTTCACAGATGGCAAGAAAAAAAGAGCAGATCATGCACTGATATATAAGCTAATAATATATGCAAAGACTGAGAGAGTGAGAATAAATGTGCACCACATGGTGGTGTTTAATCCAAATCCCAATCCATGTTGGATGTTACTTCGTAATTTGCAAGCTTTCAAAGTATGGGCCAGTGGATATGACTTTACACATGGCACAAAAGGACAGGGACCTCCTCCTCCTCTGTGGGTAAGGGGCTTTTCTCATCAATCAAACCAGTTGTTTGTTGGGCACTTGCTCACCAAACTTTGAAGCACAATAACTTGTTAGATGTAATGGAGGAGTTATTTGACGGATGTCACTCTGTCAGTATTCTAAATTAGAAACACACTATTATATTAAAAAGTTAAAACACATGGCAATTGTTTTTAAGATAAGTTTTTCTTCTGTGAATGAAATAGCTTACAACACAGTAGTTCGACGTACAGTTGTTTTTAAGATAACATATTTCATTAAGAAATTCAAGGTTGAGTTACAACTTACAGCATATCAGCAAGAGCGATCCTTTCTCGTCCCTTTTCCGGCTATTTGATTGCGATATTATTTCCTAAATTTGAAATTGATGACAGAGCGGTGGCAAGCAGTGATATGGATACGGTGCTATAACTGTAGACACTTCCCCAGCTCTCTGCAAGAATTGTACTAGTGTGACACAGTAAGGCAGTAACAAACTTATTATCTCACTGATAAAATAAATGGCATTGATCACTGTTAGAGGTTAATTCCAATCTACGGATACACATAAGCAACAAATTAAACGATTGATCCCCTTCTATTTATCAACAAGTATACAAGTTTATAATCTACGAACACTGGAGAGAAGTTTTTCCTTGGAAAATTTCCTATTAGGAGGCTTGCAGAAGTGCTTCTGGCCAAGTTTAAGTCATGCTGATGCTCACCACATAAATGCCTCTTTCACAATTTATCCACCTATTACATTGCTAATACTCCGCGATGACAGATTCAATTGCTTGAAGTCGATACGAAGTCTGTCAATCATCCCATACACTTCGTCGGATTTAGGGTGTAATTTATCGAAAACTGTAAATTCATGGACCTCGTCGTCCACCTCGATGGAACTAGCCCCGGAAGGTTTTTGGACTCCAGGTGCTCCTCATTTGCATCCTTACATTGGCAACATTTGCCCAGTCACCAGCTGCAGCATAGATATTTGACAACATGGAAAAGTTTCCCGGTTCAGACGGGTCTAACTTAACTAGGTGATTAAGCACCTCCTCATGCGAGTTCCCGATCATTATGCATCCGACATGCCCCCAAAAGGGTACCCCATATAACAGCATTCGGTTCCATTGGCATGCTATGCACAAGCCTAAAAGCCTCCAGGAGACGCCCACCACGACCCAAAAGGTCAATCATGCAACCATAATGCTCAACTTCAGGTACAATCCCATACTCCTTCTCCATCGTGTTGAAGGCATGAAGACCTTCCTCCACAAATCCTACATGCGTACAAGCACATAAGACCCCAATGAAGGTCACTTTATCCGGAAAAAACCCAGCTTTCACCATTCGAGAGAAAAGCTCAAGAGCCTTCTCGCCATGCCCGTGCATGGCTAACCCTTGGAGCATGGCATTCCAAGACACCAAATCTTTTTTCGCTATCCCATCAAAGACTCTAGATGCTTCATCCAACACACCACATTTGGCATACATGTCAAGCAAAGCATTCGAGACAGGAGTACTACACTTGAACTGATTCCTCTCAATTGAGGCATGAACTTTCCTACCCAATCCAATCATACCAGACTCTGCACAAGCAGCCAATATACTAATAACAGCACCATTATCAGGCTTCAATCCAGCTTCCTCCATTTGATCATATAGCATAATCGCCTCCTTCGCAAGCCCCTTCTCGGCATAACCAGATATAATAATAGTCCATGGAACCAAGTTCCTGAAGGGCATCCTATCAAACATCATTCTTGCCATACTCATATCCCCAGCTTTGCTATAACCCGAAACCAGAGTCGACCACGAGACAACATTCCTCTGAGGCATTTTCTCAAACAATTCAAAGGCTTCATTCATCTCCCCAGCCTTCACATACCCATCCAATATTGTATTCCAACTAACCGAATCTCTCTCAGGCATTTCTTCGAACAAGCGGCGTGCATCACTCAGCTCCCCAGCTTTTGCCAACCCCCCAATCATTGAATTCCAAGACACAGTATCTCTCTCTTCCATCACCACAAACAGCTTCTTCGCCTCGCTAACACCAATCAATCCACACTTTGAATAAGTATCAATGAGCGAATTGGGCACGAAGATATCCAACCCAAATCCAAATTTCTCAATGTGGGCATGAATCATTTGAACTACCGGCAGCCACGGACGGCCCACACAAGCTTTCAGAAGAAATGGATAAGTAAAATTATCGGGATAAACCCCATTAATCTGCATATCGAAGAAGGCCGCGAAGGCCTGAGAAGTCTGCGAGTTCTGAATGTGAGCTCTGATAAGAGTGTTGTACAAGTGGACATTTGGGTAATCAATCTGATTGAAAACGTTTACCGCCAGCGCCATCTGCCGGCAGAGGGAGAAAGCGGCGATGAGCTTGGGCGCCGAGTGGATGTCCTGGTGGAGGTCGGCTTTGAGGATTTGGGCGTGGACTTGCTTGATGTGGCTGAGGTTTGTACATCTGTGGAGGTCGGAGAGCTTCTGGTCTAAGATCCGTCGCCGGGAAACCCACGACGGGGATCGAACTGGTACACACATTTGCATGGCGGGAGAGAGAGATTGGAGCAGAAAGTTGGGATATTTTTGCGTTCAGTGTGAAATAGGCATGGCGGTTATTATGGTTTGTGGGAAGCAGTGGCTGGGACTTGATTTTTTTTTTATCTCAGAGAGAGAGAGAGAGAGAGAGAGAGAGAGAGATTTGAAGAGGTTGCTGAGTGGACTGAGCCAATTTGTAAGAGCTAAAGAAAGGGTGGGCTTTTGCAGCCCAATCTCTAGATCCACTCAATTTCACTTTGATCCAAACAAATTGATTTTGATTGACGTGATTTAGGTGATTGATTAGAACAATGAACCCAGTTGTTCTCCAAATCTCTAAAAATGAGTCTAAGGATCAAGTGATTCGGAACGTTGAAATTTGATTTAATGGCTACAAACGAGGGAGTTCCTCTAAAATTATAATAATTGTAAGCATTTAATTAAATTTTAATTGGTCAGATCACTTGATTTTTAGGCTCAAATTTTTTTGATCTGAAGATGATCTGGTTCAGAGTAATGAGCTCAACTCTTTGTCCTCGAGTTAGAACTTTTCTTCTAAATATTGCTCAGATAAGAAAACATTATATTATGATTATACACAGTTTAGGATATGTATATCCAAGTGCCCCAAGGTATAGGGGTAGTGATTTTCACTTTTTTGTTGGGTGCAATTAAAGATAGATGGGAGAAATCGGTTAAGGTAATTTATACACGTGAACCTAAAATTTGCATATACTTTGGTTAGATGATGCAACTATCAGAATAAGGATCAAGTCAAAATGGGTAGAGGAATACCTAGAAAGACTTTGAAAGAGACTTCAAGAAAAGACATGAAGTATTTAGAGCTAACAGAAGACTCGCTACAAAACCGAGCGCATGACGTTCTAGTATTTATACTGCAGACCTTATTTAGTAGGATAAGACTTGGTTATTGTTATTTATATTATTCTTGTTTGCGCTCCTTACTTCCCATTGTTTATTCAGTTAACAAAAACATAACAAATATGATATACGAATGCAAATAGACAAAAATGAGAGTGTAAAAATCGTCACCATAATTTTGGTTACTAAATTCCCTTATAGTGGTGTCCAAAATATAGGAAAGTTCAATCTTACACATTTCCTTCTAGAAAAACACTCAATGAAGAGTATGTGACTATATGTCCTAGTTGCCTTGCCTACTAACTGTTCCACTCAATTATATTCTTTCACCACTAAGTGCTTGAACAAAGCAAACATTAATTCAAATAAAAATATAAATGTCATGTGATAAGAGTTTAGGAATGAAAGTGGAGATCCCATGGTCGTTTTTGTCTTGTTCTTTTTTCTTAAATAAACCCATGTGACAAAAATTGTTGTCATTCTCAAATTGTTCCTGAAACACATCTAAAATGAAGACCAAACTTAGCAGGTCACTGGGTCGGTGAGAACCATTATTTGTTCCATCCACCTAAGACAACGCTGATAATTATTTAGGGTTCGTTTAGAATTGTTTTTAAAATGGCTAAAAACGGCTTTTGTGAAAGTAATTTTTAGATTCAATTTTTAGTTAAAAATGCAAGTGAATCTTAGAAAAATACTTAAAGTTTTTCCAAGAAGCACATAAATGGTGGTTTTTGCAAGAAGCACTTTAGGTGCTTTTGGCTTGCTTTTAGTCATTTTTAAAAAAACTTCTAAATAAGCCCTTAATTAGTGAGATAACTTCCGTTCACGATGTCACAGTAAATGTATTTTAAGTCAATTTTGTGTATAGTTATGCGTATTTAATTTGTAACAACATTTAAATAACTTGAAATATCATAATTGTGACATATTACATAAATTCTATTACTATAAAAGGAAAAAATGACATAAAATAAATTCACAACCACGTGGCGTATAATAATGCACTTTATTTGAAGAAAAACCGTATTGAACTAAAACGTCTCCGCAACGGAAAATTTTTAGGTGTACCGGGTACACCAAAAAAATTTGGTGTACCCTCACTCATTAGAATTTTTTTGGTGTACAAAAAGTGAGGGTGCATCAAATTTTTTTTGTGCACCCTCACCATTATGAGTGAGGGTACACCGAAAAATTACTCCTCCGCAACGCGAACAGAAAAGATTGGAACTCAAGTGTCGCACATGCCCACATCCAACAAACCAATCACGACAAAAAGTCTCAGAAAACACAGAAAAAAAAAAACCAACAAAAAAAAAAAAAAAATTAACTAAAACTATCCGTACTGTTTATTTGAACGAAAAATTACATTTTTACACTAAAAAATCAATCTTGATATTATCTACTTTACCATTTATTTTATCTTTATAGTTAAAACTTAAATTTTTTAAAATTTTTTATTAGTTTTCTTAAAAAATAATGTGCAGTGTCTGCCTTCTGTTCTGTCTTCAGCCTACCAACCACCAATTCAACCTCTATACCTACCCTACTCCTCCCTCCCCCTTCCAACCACCACCATAGTATTGCTCCCAATTCCATACCTCCATTCTTTCTCCTGATTTCTCAAAGAACCCATCTCTCTCCTCCCCCTCTCTCTCTCTCTCTCTCTCTCTCTCTCTCATCCATGGAGGCCAAGCTGCTGATGGCCTCCTCTCCTGCCGCTCTTTCAGCTCCCCATGTTTCCAATTCAAGACCCAATTATTTGTTTCCCTTGAAAGCAACGCAATCCAACAGCTTCGCATGCCTCAATTCTTCCTTACCAAAGAAACCAAATTTGTCTGTCCAGGCTGCTTCGACTTCCATTGGGTACAAATCCAGCAACCCTTTTGCCTAAACTTGTTGGGTTCTCTGATTTTCTTTGTTTGCCCTTTTATGGATCTGCTGGTTATTCTGCTTTTATGTGAGAGAGAGAGAGAGAGAGAGAGAGATATATATATATATGCTTTTGTACTGTTATTTCTGGAAATTGGCATGCTTTTATTTTTCTGTGCAGATAAACTGCATTGATTGATTGGAGTCTGTAATGATTTGATATGCACCAAATAAGATGCGTAAAATTATTATCTTTTTCCTCAAGTCTAGGAGTAAATAATTGTTCAAAAATATTATTTTGAAAGAGAATTTGGGAAAGGCTGCTCCTTTGTGACTGAAAGGTCACAGTGAGTTGTGAAAACAGCTTCTTTGTTAAGGCATAAGGCTATTGTACGTTTTCCCCGACCCTCACAAAGCGGAGAGCTTTGTTAGCTTGAGATCGCCCCTTAGAATTTAAGTACTTGATTATTTTTGTTATTGTTAGTGTGCTTTTGCTTTCAAGTTAGTCAGGCTACTTCAAGTATTCCGATGAATTCAAGTTCAAGTGAATATAGTTTGCTCAAGTTTTCAAGTTGGTTCAGGTACAAGTAATCCGGTTAGTAGAGTGATAGCTTAATTGTTTACATTGAAAAAGATGTTTTTGAAAGTACCTATGATTTAACTTTTTCTATGACCCGTTGGGGGTAAGAATGCTGGATCCGCCACTGGATGTAACCATAAAAATTCTCAGGAAGTGTTATATATTGCTTCGAATAGTATTTGTAGCTTAGATTGTTGTGATATCTGGCATGTCTTTGCTGTATATATTTTTTGATGTTTTGCGTAGAAAAGTATGTTCGTTGCCACTCAAATCCATCGTTCATCATAAAAATGCATATTATTGATTACTGGATGGATTAGGAGTCTTGCTTTCAATTTACTATGTCTAGATTCTGATACTAGACTGGCTATTGTGTAGATCATTGGCTACGAAGAAAAGGATGGATGAAACCGATAGTTTGACACTAGAAGGTATAAGACATTCTTTGATCCGGCAGGAGGATAGCATAATTTTTAGCCTTTTAGAGAGAGCTCAATACTGTCATAATTTGCTTACGTACGACCCCAATGCTTTCCCTGTTGAGTGTTTCCACGGCTCCTTGGTAGAACACATTCTTAAAGAAACAGAAAAGCTTCATGGCCAGGTATGTTAAACCGTAACATGGACAATAAGAAAACTCGACGAAAGGATTGTTCTGGGGTTTCTTATTGACTTTGCATTGTGATTAGGTGGGCAGATTCAGCAGTCCTGATGAGCATCCTTTTTTTCCGGATGACGTACCTGAACCAGTGTTGCCACCTCTGCACTACCCTCAGGTAAATGTAACACACATTAGGAACAATGAAATTGATTATGCCCAAGCTTGTGCTTATCTTTACGGCAGGGCCACATGCAGGCCCGGCACGGCAATGGCCTCCCACATCCTCCATGTGGCTGTTTTCACTTATTAAAATTTTAAGAATATATTTAATAGTTTAGAAAATTCTGAAAACATGCGTTTTTTATCCCTCTCCTGCAATGCTGCAAGGGACAAACTATGAGAAACATTTGAAAAGGTCTCATAAATAACTTACTTGAATGGGGCTGATTGTGATCGAGAAAGTTGTGTTGAACATGGAGGTTTTGTTTTCTTTTTTGGCCGATGTGTGAAGCTCAACATGGTCTAAAGCACAGAAAACGGAGTCTTTTCATGTTATTACTTGCTCAAAAGAAAATTATATCTGAAACTATTTAAGAGATAACTCGATCTATAACATTCCTAGATAAACTTAAAATGGTAGTCAATTATGTGAATCCATCTGCAACAAAATATTTATTCAGAAAATTTGATTCTACCAAAAAACTTGACATTTAAAAATCTAACACTAATGGGAAACAGTTAAAGAAACAATGTCTTGTCGGTCATAGTTTAACTGAAATTTCACTACATGAGCTAGCCCTTCCAATAGGAGAGCTTTCTTTATCTCCCCGCTTTCTGCATCTGTCCTATTTGTACCACCATTGTTGTGTGGCAGTGGCAATCGTTGTTCTGGTTTTCTGAGTGGCAACCACTTTCATTCTGAATATATATGTCCGACTTGCAAACAGGTACTGCATCCCATTGCCAACTCAATTAATATAAACAGCAAAGTTTGGGAAATGTACTTCAGGGATATTATTCCAAGACTGGTTAAAGAAGGAGATGATGGTAATTACGGTTCAACTGCTGTTTGTGACACAATGTGCTTGCAGGTATTCAAATCCTACCTGATCTTATCGTTCTCAACTTCCATTTCTTGTTCGGTTTGGAAGGCGAAATAAGCAATGTCCTTCTTATATAGGTTAATAGATTCAGTAATTATATGTGAGTTGTTTTTTAACTAGCATTTCTAAATGCTGACGCGGGGTGTCCTATGACGGCAGGCTCTGTCCAAGCGAATCCACTATGGTAAATTTGTTGCGGAGTGCAAGTTTCAGTCCAATCCAAAGTCCTACGAAGCTGCCATTATCGAACAGGTACATGATCTTGAATGGATTTCTCTATCCTCCTGTCATAAGTAGTTTTGGATGTTCCGTGTGCTTAGTCAGTTTTCTTCATTTTTCAGAACAGGGACAAGGTGATGGCTTTGTTGACATTTCCGACGGTTGAGGAGGCAATCATAAAGAGGGTAGAAATGAAGGCCAAAACTTACGGGCAAGAAGTGACATTGTACGAAGGGGAAAAGAAAAGTCCCAACCTCGTGTACAAGATAAAACCGACCTTGGTTGCAGATTTATATGGGGAATGGATCATGCCAATGACCAAGGAAGTTCAAGTTCAATACTTGTTAAGAAGGTTGGACTGAGAGGCAGCTAAACTAGTCTTGAATATCTATTACTATCCACGTACAGAAATTTGTGCTTTCATAAATTGTGCTTATTTTCAAAAGCATGGGGAGCTGCTTATGTTTTTATCTGTAATTTGCTGGTTGATGTGGATGCTAAGATGGGAGGCAAAGACATGTTATTGTTGTATGATTAAAATAAGTACAGGCCCGTTCTGCAGCCTACATGTATAAGTTTTGCAGCCCACTCTAGCTTACTGAAGTCTTGAATGTTGGTGCCACCCAGCTAAAAATGTTGGGTTGTTCTAGGCACCTATTAAGGAGAAATTTTTCAATATGACAGGTATACGATGCGGTATTGGTTAGAGCTTCATTTTCAAGTTTTCAGCCAATTGTACTACTACACTTAGTGTCGGGTCGTGTGCCTGGCATACTGAAAAATTTCTTCCCAATTAGAGCTGCTCAAAATTAGTCATAATTCACTTCTCAAGGTGTAAATATTTTCCAAATAGTTTGTAGGTGAAGAGGGCTAGTGAGGTTATGTTTGTAACTATTTCTGGAAGGTTTAACAATCAAATTTGCAAATGGCGAAAAACTTAAAAACCACTTTTATGTATAGAAGATGCTTCCAAGTGTTTTGTGTTCCTCTTAAAAACACTCGCAATAAATACGCTTATAAATAGAAGTGCTTGCACGTACTTGTTCTCGAGTGGTCAACATTTTCAGATGATGACAACCACTCTTTGAATTATGTCCTTATTGGTAAAATACATGAATAAAACACCCTGTACAGCGAAAGCAGTGAAAAGGCACATGCTTTACAACGTGCCAACGACAACTATCATAACCATTTTTCATTTTGTATTTGATTTTGTGATGGTTGCCTTGCATAACTTGAGCTTTGGTCCACAAACTTTAATAAATCTAAAAAAGGGCCGGCAAATCCTTCTGGCAGAAAGCATTTGTCGAAGATAATTTTCATATGAGAACTGAAAAACTATAGAAAATTTTAACGAAATATTTTCGATACTGTCTATTTTTAATAAAAACGATATTTTTACTCTAAAAAATCACTCATAGTACTATTTACTTACAACACTTTTTTATCCTTTTGATTAAAACTCAAAGTTTTCAAGCTCTTTTTATTAATTTTCCTAAAAATATAATATATAAGTTTGGTTTTATTTTTAATAAAACAGAGACTTTTATAATAAAATTTAATACTTAGCAATGGATGAATACGCTAAAATAATATCAGAGTAGTTAGGAGTGGATCAATGGCTCATCTCTCTGACAATATTTACCCATAATATTGTTTACTTTTGGGAAAACTTGTGTGCTTTTAGGTTTACTTGTTATTATGAAAATGTCACAATTGCAATTGTATTAATCAAACATTGAAAGACACTATTGATTGAGGTCCTTTTTTTCCCACCCAACCAAATTTAAATGTGTACGCTTTGTGAACCTAACCAAACCTTATACATTGGTCACTAGTAGAAACAATCTTTTTATTTTATTTTTATGCAAGGCTTTGAACTACAAATCACTTGTACTAACTTCTACCGTTTTAGTCATGTCGTGTTAGTTGTGTCATTAATCTACGTGTTTTAATAGAGCTGTATTACATAATATGTCATGAACTTAAGGTAAAAAACACACGTATTATAAAATAAGTAAATATAAACACAACACAATTGTGTGGTTCAAAATCACACCGAATTCCTCAACAAGTTTTGCTTCTCATTGTTTGGTTTCTTAAGAAATCTATAACCCACAAGTAACTCTCAGCTGGATTTCACTATTTTGCGCAAGATTTAACTTACAAAGATTGCCTAATTAACTTCAACAGCAGCAAAACAGCACATTCAGACAGGAGAAGCTTGTCCCATTGACCTGGTTTGAACACTGTCATCAACCAACACTTAATCTTAAATTAATTATTTTTAATCACTAAACACTCGAACTTTTATTAATTTATAACAATTAGGTTCTTGCATTTATGAACAGGCACACATAAAAGTGCAAATTTAAGAAATATAATATTTGCATACGGCCATACAGGAACTGAAATTATCCGGATAAATAGCCCACGGCACTTGTAGATCTGGAAACCGAAACCTCATATAAACAAACTACCCTAACTAAACTAAAGGCCCAAAAAGTTCAAAAGCAAAGTGCTTTTGTAGACGGAGCTTTCTAGAGCAACTGCTACTGCTTGTGAGAGAGTGAGAGAGCAATGGAGAAAGAGAGAGCTATAGCGGTGGTGGTGCTTTTGTGCTTGGTGGTGGTGGTGAACTTCCAGAAGCATCAGCTACGAGATATATGGTGGGAGGGAAAATGGGTTGGAACAGCAATGTCAACTATACAATTTGGGCTCAGGATAAGCACTTTTACAATGGAGACTGGCTCTGTAAGTTCATCTTTCTTTCTCTTCTCTCAGATCCATTAAGTTTCTGCTTTTTTTTTTTTTTTTTTTCTGTCAATGCTTATGGTTCTCTGTTAGTTAATTCTCAGCTGAAATTTTCTTTTTTTAGCTCATTTTTTTGGTTGATGTCGCTTTTTATTGTGTTAGACTTAGATCTGAAAATTGCTTAATGGGTTGAGCTTAAAATCTGCTTTTCCATTTTTGTTTGACTAAAGAAAAGCATTTTTTACCGTAAGTTTGTTTCTTGATGTGTAAAGCTTAAGTTAAATTCAGTTTTTCCTGCTGATAATTGCAAGAAAAAGAAGCAAAGATTACAAGTTTGGTTATTCAAATTATATATGGGGTTACTTTACTTAAGTTTGTTATATACAGTTTGAATATAATCAGATTACCAATTAAGGAGCTTTTCTGAATTTTGTCTCTTGATGTGTAAAGCTTATGTAAAATCTCAGATCTGCAACTTTTTCTAATTGTTTTCCTCTTTGCTTTTGCTGTGAAGAAAAGCCAATGTTAGTTCAATTTACTTTCATATTTTAGTGTATCTTTTGGTTAGTTCTAAAGGGTGTAGAAGAAATGGAAATCCGGAAATGAACAAGAGTGTGCGGAAATCATTTCCTTATTAAAATGTCGCCCTGCACGACACGAAAACTTAAAATAAGTACCAAATATTAGTTTTCTACTAAGAAAACCATATATTTTATCTAGTTGGTAAATTGTGTTTCTTTTTCCTTCAGTTTTTGTTTATGACAGGAACCAAATGGACGTTCTAGAGGTGAATCAGACCAACTATGTCTCGTGCAATGCCGAGCATCCCGTTCACAACTGGACCACGGGAGCCGGAAGAGACGTGGTTCCACTGAATGTGACAAGGCACTACTACTTCATCAGTAGCAAGGGGTTCTGCTATGGTGGCATGAAGATCGCTGTTAAGGTTGAAAACATGCCTCCACCTCCCAAAGCTTCCCCGGTGAAGAGCAAGAGCAGTGTCCTAACACCTACCTTCAGATCCCAGTTTGTTTTGCCTGCGGTTTTCGCCATTGGCGCAATGTGGGACGCTTTGGTTCGGCTGTGAAGGCATATGATCCTTAAACTTATTCGCTAAACAGTGTGGATTATCGAAATTCGCTAAACAGTGAGGATTATCAAAATCAAAATTAGACAATTCTTCTAGCTAAGTAAGCTGAGCCATTGATTTGGGAAGCAACTTGAGATTGTCTTCCACTTTACTTGGATTTAATTTTTCTTTTGGTTTTTGGGGTTTTGATTTGTTGATTTGTTGGTGTTGTTTTAGTTTCACCTTGATGGAGTAGAAGGAGGACAGTCGTTATGATTGAGGAAATTTTTAAGTGTTCTTTTCATTTCTGGATGATTTTTTTTACTTTTTATTTATTGGATTTTCAAATGCGTTGATTACGGAAGTTTGTTGAAATTAATTGTAACTTATTCCTCGGTCCTTCAATCATGGAGCTGGATCCAGCCCTTTAAGCGTGTCGTTTTGGAGATGTTTTTCAGTTTACCCGCAACACGGTTTTGTACATTAAATATAATAATACAATCGGTTGTAAAAAATTCGTTCTTTCAAGCTTCCCACAAGAAGAAAACTTGCATTAAATCCACATCACTGGACCTATGGACCAAAGACGAAAAAGAAGACATGGGTTCTTTGGGCTCATTTGCTCCCATTGCAATTTCCATGTCATGTCTAATGGGTGAATTAGGTGTACATGGGGCACTATCCCTTTTGCATGATTTCATTTTGCTCTGTAGAAGTTGTAACATGTAAGGGCAGTGTGTCCGTCTTTTTCTACAAGTCTGACCTTAGTTTTTTTTTTTAATTTTTCTTCAATAGTTCAGACTGCTTATTAGTACGGAAAATTGATGGTTATGCTTAATTGTAAAAAAAATTATTTTTGGTTACTTGTTAATCTAATGAATATAAAGCTGGACTACCTAGTAGTCCGGAATATTGAAGACTTACCTAAATTTTTTTTATACATTAGAGTGGTTCAAAGTATAGTGTTGTTAAGAAAGAATTTTTGTTTACTCATCGTGTGGTTCAGTATTCTAGTGGATAGGATGTTGGGTTTATATTCATATGTATCGGGTTCGAAAGTCTTCCTCCCTTAAATCAATGTAATAGTTTTGCACCCTCTCCGTCTTCTTAATAATGGTAATTTCAATTTTTTTAAAACAGAATTTCTGTTTACTTTCTTTTGTGTTTTTGTGTTAGATTTTTAATTTTTTCTTGCTATCTTTGTTTCTATGTAGGATCAAATTTGCTTTTATTCTTCCTTCTTTTCCTTTATTTGATTTTGCAAGTTTGAGTGGGGTTGTTTTCCTTTCTCAGACACAGACAAGTTCATTCTCTCTCTCTCTCTCTCTCTCTATGCTTTATATTACTGCTTTTTAAAAAAAAAAAATTTAGGCAGGCTTTAATTTTTTTACTTTTCTTTAGTTTCCCTCTTCAAACCAAATCAAAATCAAACCAAAATCAAATTTTAAGAATCTGTTCGTTTGCTTTGTAGCAGGTGGCTTGCTTTTTTTTCCCCCCTTGCAAGCCTTCTTCTGCACTGAACCAGCTAAAATACCAACACCAAAACACTCCCAAACTTCAGAAATTCTCCTTCTCTTACACTCCATGGTATCTTATTCTGGAAATTTTGACTGTTAAATTTATGTATTTGTATACTTGACGAATAACCTAACTCTTTAAAAACTGTGAAATACAATTAAAAACTTCTAAACAATATATAAAATAATTTATAATGTCCTTTCATTTCAAAACCATATTATTCTTCGAATGTGAGCATAAGTCCAGGGGCCTTTAGGCCGGCTATTAATTTTGATACGATAATTCATTTAGATTTTTGGAAACCAAAATTTTTTATTTTATTTTAATTAATTATTATTCTTCGAATTTGAGCATAAGTTTGGAAAATGATCCTCTCTGAATTCACTTTGTAGAGATCTCTAGCCGTTTATTGTACATTGTGCAACCAGTTTTCGTCAAATACTATTTGTGTTTAATTTTAAATAAAAAAAAATCTGTATGGGAAAATGATCATCTCCGCACGATATACGATGAATGACTAAAATGTGGGGATCCTTAAGATCCCCACAAAGTGGACCCGTATGGGATTTAATTCCCATAAGTCCAAAGGTTTTTAGGCCTGCTATTAATTTTGATATGGTAACTTATTTGGATGTTTGAAACCAAAAATTATGATTTTACACTCAAAATATATTCTCCATGAACTTTCTATGATTTCATAATTTAACGTTAGTTTTTATTTTAATATTATAAAATATTGTGCAAAAATTATGAAATGACGAAAAAATTATATGAATAATTACTTATTTGAAATAATTTCCTTAACATGCAGCATAATAAAAATCCCCTCAAATTCAACCAGTCAGTCAGTCAGTCAGTCGAGCAAGTGTAACGATTGTAACTGCTCTGAAACATTCTTTGTAGGATGGGAGTTGAGATGAATTGGACCCCACCAATGTCACCAACTTATGTGAAACCACCAATCACCTCATGCCACGTACACAAAGAACCAAAAAGCCTTCGTGTCTTTCATGCAAGTGTGTAAGTAACCTATCATGTAATTTTGACTCATACCCTCTTGGTTTGAGCTCGAAAAGAAACCCCCCACGTTCCTCTTGAGGCTGATGCCATTCGTCCCTTCACCTTCCGAATAAATACCACCATTACCATCAGCATTATTTGCCAGACAATTATAAATTAGGGTTTACAGAGAAAGCAGACATTAGTGTGTGAAGTTAAGCAATGCGGATGATGAGTTCGGGAGTGATGGCGGCGGCGGTAATAACGGTGGGCTGGCTGATGGCGTCTGCAACCGCTATTCTGCATAAGGTGGGAGGCAAACAGGGTTGGGATCAGAACGTCAATTACACTGAGTGGGCGGCAAATGAACAGGTTTACGTCGGCGAATGGCTCAGTACGTTTATCATCATCTCTCTCACATAAAATATGTGTATTTGACATCTTCTAAAATAATTCTCAATTCAAAATTTTGATAAATTATACAGAGAAATAAGAACATTGATGCAACCAAAAAGTTGTTTGTTTGTAACGCAAAGATAAAATTGCATAATTGGAAACAGTTTTGTTGGCCTAAGGTCGTCCTTTTTTTCATTTTTCTTTAGTTGTGCATTAGAAATGACTGACTTTGAGCATACATTGCTTTGTTTTCAAGTATTCAACTTTGACAAGAGGTACTACAATGTTCTGGAGGTGAACAAGACGAGCTACGAGAACTGCAATGATCAAGGCTTCATAAAGAACATAACCCGGGAGGGCGAGATGTGTATCAACTCACAGAGGCAAGGCCGTATTACTTCCTCTCCGGCGGAGGTTACTGCTGGCATGGCATGAAACTTTATCTGATTGTCCACGATGGACTCCCACCTGCTCCGGAACTCGCTCCAGCACTTGCTCCGGCTACAAGTGTTGCTTCTCCTCCAAATTCACTAACCTCTTCGGCCGCTGAGATGTTGTTTCTATCCATTGCGCTTTGCTTAGCTTTAATGTGGACGCTCTAGCTAGTTAGTTATATATAAAAGCGAATTATATGTGGTGATGATCAGGATCTTCTGTATGTTCTATTGCGTGCAAGATTATGCAAGGCATTTAATTGTAGCCGTGAATTGAATGAAATTCTTGAACTTTCATACCCAGATTAAACTCCAATTTGCAATTTTTTTGGTGTTCTTTATCCCTTGCGAATTTCTAAGCTTGCCCAATGCTTGGCATGGTTTTTTTTTTTTGGGTCTCTATCAAGAACCATTGCTAATGGGTTCTTCTGATTAACAAGACTTCGCTGAGATCTTTGAGCGTTGAAAATTTATGGCTGAGAGAGAAGAGAGAGAAAGCGATGTATCATGTAGTATTATTTTGTTCTACTTTGTTTGAGAGAGAGAGAGAGAGAGAGAGAGAGAGCACCAGCAGCAGCAGCAGAGAGTGTGCGGCGGGAGAGATTATTTGGGGTACAGTACTTGACTACTCAAATATTCGTTGTCAATTTATATAATTTCGTGTTTATAATCAAAACTGTTCATATTATAAATCATCCTATAAAGATTGTCTCTACAAAAAATCAATTAAAACTAAGGTCGTTTAATCATCAAACTACTTAAAAACAAATGAACGGTATCGGTAAAAGCATTACGAACCATCTACGTATTTGCTACAATAGATTGACTAAACGATAATGGTTTTAATTTATTTTTTGCAAAGGCGATCTTTACAGTGTGATTCATAATATGAATGATTCTGATTATAAACACAAAACTCTATGACTAAAACACTAAGAGTTTTGAGTAGGAGTTCCTACTCATCTTTGAGTTGTCAAGTATTATTATTATTTGGAGAAGAGATCCCCTCCGAATCTCTCCCACCAAATCCTAGGGATCCGGAGATTCGGACCCTTGAAATTTGATCAAACAGCTACAATTATTATAACTTTTAGATGGCTCATTATTTGTAACCATTTGATCAAATTTCAAGAGCCTGGATCTTCGGATCCCTAAGATTTGGTGGGAGAGATCCAAAGAGGATCTCTTCCCGATTATTTGGGGGTTTTGAAACAAAAAAACATTAACAAACGACTCATTAAACATGTTGGATAAGAGAATTATTTTAGTATGTCAGAAACAAAGCACAGTACATCAAGTTTTAATATAATTTGATTAGAATTTGTTTTAATTTTCAAACAATTGTATTATTATACTTATGTGCTGCACGGTCCGACATATTGAAAAAATTTTCATTTGGTAAAATCTCTCCTTCTGTACATTGTGAACCATTTAATGAGTTGTAATGGATAACGAGTTGTATTCAATTGAGATTTTAAAATATTTTAAAACAGTTATAAATCCATAGAGTTTAACATATATGTGAATTTTTGGTGAAATCATTAAAAAATTTAGGGGCCAAGGCCTGATTCTATCAAGCCTCAAAAACATTATAAAATTCCTCTAAATCCATCAATTTTTTTTTATTATTAAAATACTTTAAAATCCAATCATAATTGAATACATTTGAAGTTTTATGACCTACTTCAAACGTGAATACATTCTAATTTTCATAGAATTTTATAAAACTCTTTAGAAATCTATACCCGTAGACTTCAATTGAATACATACAGATTTATAAGCTTATTTAAAATCTCTCTTCCAAATTTATGTCGTGTTTTACCCATTTACTTCGTTTCTCCTTGGAAATATTTCACAAGATAAACGTATCATCATTGCGTTCGCAAATGAAAGTAAAACCTATCGTTTAACTAATTTTTATTGCTTTGATTTGAAGAGGGCTTTACACAAATAGTTT